AAGACTTATTTCAAATTTTTATTTCAATTGTGCTTGCATATTTAGGGAAATAAAATTAATATATTGTTTAAATTTGCCGACAAAAACATGCTTCCAGTTGTTGCAAATATAGAAAGACAAAAATAGAGATACAGATATATGCATTTATATAAGTCCGTTTTTAACCTTTTAAGTTCCAAACCATTTCAGATATAATCATGAACTTCAACATTTATATAACTTTCAAATATTTGACTTCATCCATAACTTTTAGATCACAAAATTATTTCTAAATCATTAAAGAAAATAAATTCAGCGAAATATTTTGAAGAACACGGTAGTCTACGCAATATTAAAAAATTGATTGATGTAAATTTACATCATCAAGTTTGGAGGTTAACACTATAATCTTTACTAAAATAAGATATTCTTAATGAAAAATCAAGACCTTTCATTTTCACAATAGTCAATAAAACATACATTTATTCGACGTATTAAAAAGAGGAAGTCAGAAATCCAAATTTCTCAGACATTTACTATTTGCGCTGGAGTCTTAGTTCTACTGTTTGAAGCTGTATTATCCGTAAACAACAGTATACTGTTGTGGCCCTAATAACATCTCCTGGAAAACAGACGTACCATAAATTCATTTAAATTGACTATAATTGGATATTCTTTTATAAACTGAAAGTAAAATAAAACAGCTAGGTAAATAACCTTTTTTTATTATTCTTTTTATTTGAGAGTTGTAATGGGATATTTTATTGTTACAGTGTAGATGAGTAACTTCTCCAAAGGATAAACACTCAACCCTGCCATTAACTTCAGTTTTCTATCTTTCTAATGTTCGAAGCATACAGCAAATATTTGAAAAAACATATCTTAATTACATACCCATTATTAGTGCCATTTTTATAGTATGGTGCTCAGTGTTTCAGAACACAAGCTGTTTGATATTCCAGTTAGGTATAACATTTATACAATAAAATCTTTATTAATACCCGTTATATTAAACTCTTTTCTTCGGCATACTTAGTAAACACAGTTACCATATGAATATAAAATTTATGAGTTAAAATGAGTTCATTGCAAGAAATGTGTTTAGAGATGTACTTTAGGGTATTGATTTCCATTATAAAGTCAGAATTCCTACATTGGGATGTACTTTTATGTAGCAGAATTTTCCAGTAACGCTGTTTTTCTATGCTTCAGATTTCATTTATCGATTTGTTTCAACTAGACATATATTATTCTCCAGTAACATTAGCTTAAAGAACTCTTTTGCAGTTTTAATGCCCAAGAAAGTAAGACTGAGCCACTGACTTTAAAACTGAAATCATGCTATTAAATACAATTATAATATAATAAGTATTATAAAAAATTAATATAATGAAGTAAATAGTATAGTAGTATTAAAATAATGGTAAATTAAAATAATGGCAGTTAAAATACAAAAAATGTGCAGCTTTCGTCAGACACATAGATATTGGATTTTTAAAATTCTTTTATTATGCAAAAACTATGTTTTTTAAATTTAAATGACTTAGAACTCATTACTAGAATTTTGGAGAATCGGCATAATTCTGAAGCCTGGAGGTCGTTTGTGGACTATTTGAAAACAGTTTCAAAAGCTTTACTTCATAATGTAAATAATATCTGTCAGTGACGCTTCCTTATTTTACCCACATGAACCTTTTGTTAAGGTATATTATAGATTACGAGAATGAATGTCTAAACAGAGCAGCAATTATCCGCTGGGCTTTCTTGACAAAAATATAGATGAACATAGTCCCGTTGTTTTTATAAAATGAGGCAATAGCGATAAAGATCAGTGCTTCACTAAAACATTTCTGACCTAAAAGGAAGATTTTAGGTGCAGGTCTTCAAACTGTTATTTTTGAGTTTTTAATGAGTCCTTAGAAAATTTGCTTAACGAGAAACTTTATTATAGCAAAGGGTTGAAGACAGAGGATTTTCTTTTCTAGAAATGATTCCTCGTCTCAAGATCAGTAAAACTAAAATTAAAGAGGGCATGTTTTGTCTGTCCTAAAATTAAGGAATTTACGAAGGATGCTGATAATCGAACAAGGGTGAGCCTAACCTGTGGAACTCATTTAAAATGGTATTGACAAACTTCTTGGGTGATTAAAAGGCAGAAAGGTGCAATGAATTAATTAATTAAGCTACTAAAAGCTACAAGGCACTAGAATGCAACATGTTACTTGAAATTAAAGAGGGTGTTTACTTAGTTTTAGACGATTTTGTGGCCGTTTAATTAATGTTTAAAATATAAATATTATTTTCTTAAGTGCTCGTTCTGACAATTTTTTGGACTCGAAATCTGAATCATGATTTCCATAATAGAAGAACTTTTCGTAAAATTACTAAGGGTATTGATTTCCATTTATCTTCCTCTACTTTCCAGAATCCCTCCATCGTGGTGGGTTTGCGCCTAGAATGAGCTCACCTCAAGAGACCAAATGCACAATAGTTCATGGGTGAAACGTTAAAGGGTTTCGCAAGAGTACGCTAAAAATGGTACATATGCAGTACCTGTATCAGTCTTCATTTTCTTCAAGGAATACAGTGGTACATTTCGTAGTATGGTAGTAGTGTTATAGTAGATGCCTTCATCTCATTCTGGTGGAATTCGTCTCTTGGATTCAGTTATGCTTTTAAGTGCTACTTTTCACCAATAAACGACTGAATGAAATTAAAAATTTATCTTTTAGCTTAAGAAAAGTATTCTGGATATCTTTTGACTAGTTCCAACTTTGTTGTTTAAAATGTTCTATTTGAGTTTAATTAAGAAAAAAAAGAACATTACGCGAATAATCAATTAAATATATCACAAATTTACAAGGGAGGTTAGTAGAATTATTAGTAAATATTATTATTAAACAATAATAAATTGCTTTGAAGTACAGCATTTGCCAGATTTTTCTCTGTTTTACTTTCTTGGGAAACTTTCAATAATATTTCATTTATGACCCTTGCATCTGAATAAAATACCAACAATAATAATACAAATTTATTAATAAAAGTTATCTTCAATAACTTCTCTACGTTGTAACACCTAAAGAAATTTTTATTTATTTACATCTAGAAGCCTCTTTTTTTAAATGAAACAAATTATAAATATATTTTTAGCATTCAATATTCAATATAAATGCAGGTTTCATCGCAGCATTTATCGTTTTCAGTAACAAATCCCACAAAATAAAAATAGCTGTTTTGGGAAAATATTTGTTCAAGTTCAAATATAAATGCACATTTAAAACACCTTCAATAATTAATTCTTTCCTTATTTAATTTTTTGCTATGTTTGACTATTTGTTCAAGTAGAATCTTTAAGATTACACTTCATCTCTTTTCCAGAGACAGACGTTTTTGAAATTTTACACACAAAACTATTTGCAATAGCAGTACAATTTTCCACTAAGAGTTTTTCAAAATTGAGTTTACATACATGATTCTTAATCTTAAATTCTCTTGCAAATCCTTGCTTATTAATCAAACTAATCATACAGAAGTTTGATTTTTACACCACGAGATATATCAAATGAAGGTTTTTTTTAATGTTTCTAACATTATTTGCCAAAATCTGTAATTTTTCAAAACTTTTTCTGCATAAACAATTACACATCTTCTACTAATTGTGCAGCTATTGACAATTACATATTTTAAAGCATCATAAATCATAATTTTTAAACAGGCCTTTTGATTTAAAATACAGCCTTACTCAGAATGATGGATTTTTAAATCAAAGGATTCATTAATTAATTTTAGCATGCCGCGGTTTTAAGTGATGTAAGATCATATTTCTATAAAATAGAAATGTAAATGAATTGAAGGTAGTTTTACACCGAGTTATAAGAATTAAATTTAAGAAGTTCAGATACAACGACTTTCTGTCTGTAACACTTTTCTGTATATGACGACTAAAGCAAATAAAAGAAAAAAAGGGTAAAAAAATTTAGATTATTCGGTTTTAATCAAATACACTGTAAAGTAAAACTCATTTCTAGCTAGTATAATATTTTTGATCATATGTGAATAAAATAAAATCAATGGGCCTGTCATATTCGAATTGTCTTACACCATTAAATAAATTTCGGAAAACAAATAATAATTTTAGCATAAAAATATATGTTAATAAAAATTACACTTAATTCCTTAAAATTTCTATTTGAAAATTTTGATTTCAAATCAGCTATTATTAGCATCTCCGAGATTTTATTTTTAATCACATATGATAAAGAATATTACATTAACTAAAGATCGTTTTTAAACTGATAAAAGTTTTATAACTATCCTGAAAAGTTTATTTTGAAAATAATCCTCGTCATCTATTGTTTCATAATTTACAAATGTATTGATTTTTTTCCTGATAATCACTCCTCATCCATTACTGAAAGACATGTTATTAAATGTAATTAATCACTCGATTGCACTGTCTTGAGTACTGCTTTCAAATAGAATAGGGTATTACTTGCAAATGAATTCAAAGTCATAGAACTGAGTATTAGTTTCAAATAATTTATTTCTATTGCTGAAAATGTAATGCATGTAAATTATAGATTCGGAGAACCTAACAAAAAGCGGGATTCAATTCTCAGTTGAAAATTGTCATGTAAATAGATATCGAAATAGCGTGAGGATTACTCATTGCTTGCAGTAGTGAAACATAAAAGAAAATTTTCCACTCTTTTAGTTATCGATTCCTTTGAATCCAATGATTGAAATATGCTTTGCGTAATTCATGCGTAATCTCCAATTGATAAATATTTAATGACACCTCTTTAGGATTTTTTTTCCAATGCCATAGTCCTAATGACGGTACCCATCTTTGAAATTCATATAACATATTTTATTTTTTTACTTGAAGTGAAGCAGAAGTGTTCTCTTATGAAAGAAATTTCATTATAAAGAGATATATATTTATCGCAAAATTTACCAAATTAGAAGTATTTAGCAATATGTTTTATCATTTCTTACATGTCTTTCCTTTTACACTTCAGAAAGAAGAGTTTATTAAATCAAAAGTAATCGTAGGAAGATGATGCAGTTGTATAGAGTTGGAATGATGCTCTGAAAGAAAAGTAAAAGTAAGTAAGTATAAAGATTTAAAAAAACATTCTAAAAATATTCATTTGACTAAACAGTTGATTTTAAATTTTGTTAAATTTCGCTGTAACGTAATAATATGCAAATTAAGCAGTATTTAAGAAGAAATAGAGGACCTTGAGTTTTCGAAGGTAAGGAAATAGATTAAGCCGTAAGTTATTTCAGATTTAGCGACTTAGATTTAAAAGCGTTTGTGTCTTTATTTAGTTACCAATCTTGACGAAAATAAAATGAAATCGTTAAATATATTGGATTTTATTTATTACCATTGTAAATATGTAGTTTCCTGTAATTACAGTTATTCTAATTATTTTCAGCTTTTTCCTATGTAAACAATAAACAGCTGACTGAATCAAACTTGTTTAGTTTATTAAATTAGTCGACTAAGATATTTTAGAGAAAGCTTTGAGCAAAATATGTAAAAAGAGAGTTTTTCAGTTTCAAAAACTTATTGGTCAAAAATTAAAGACCCTGACTTACGGATAGAGCGTAACTTCTGAAATAAGAACATTATTTATTAAAATGAAAACAGAGCGCTATAATTACTTGGTGTCCTGTCTATAGAAATCCTTCAGATAGATATGAAAGAGAATAAATGCTTAAGACTTTGTTGAGTCATTAGGATTTTTAATGCTCTGGAAACTTGAAAAATAAGCAATGCCCTTGGCGACACTCGAACCTGGACCTTTCGAATACCCGTTGAATGTGCTACAAGTTACCCCATGAACGCATGCTGGAAGAAGAGAGAAAATACCTTATAACTTTTTAAGTTATAAAATAAACGGAGGTGAAAGCAGCAGGACGTAAGAGACAATTTATTTTATTTTTACTACTTTATGAAGTTTAATGCACTGAAGTGATTTGAGCAGCTTTAGAAAAGCTTCCGGCTGCGTGGGGCACTAAAGCTCAGCGAAGCAACAAATTCGAATCCATTACAAAATTTTAGTTAATTTTCTTTAAATTCAGTTAATACCCCCTTTTCTAGTAAATCATCGACCAAACTAGTCCTATAAGGATGAGCGTTATCATCCATAAAAATGACTCCTTTAAAGGCGAACATGGGCTCTCCGTATACTACACAGAAGTTACACAGCTTCTGTCAAAGAAGTGAAGTCTGTGCGCCTGTTCACCATGTCGTCTGTTTATATCCTCAAACTTAAGTCGCCATTTTTGCCGTTCTCGGATGGTGAACGAAGAGGATTGCTGCTTTTTTCTGGGTAAAGGTCTGCGAAGAATCAATGGTTAGGCTGAAAAAGTTATCTTTTATAAAGAAAATAGTGCGCCACTTACGATTAGTTGAAAGTCGATGTTCTGTTAAGACTGCTAAAATAGGCTCTTTTGTACTTAGAACTGAAGCAGATGCAAACAGCAGGGTAAACTTAACAGGAAATCAAACAGATGAGATTCTAAATCCATATGTCCTCCTTTTCAGAGGTGCAAATGGCAGTCAGATCATTCAGACGACTGGTGAATGATGTTTTCTGAAATGACGAGGTATTCCAGAAGCCATGTCTACAGACTTCAAAGCTATAATCTCTGTGACACTCTTGCGAAGGCAAGTTTGCCTGCTCCTTTCTAGATCACTCCTGGACCTGAAAAGAGAGCTTCTGCAGGAGTGAGCCGGAATGCCGTCCTTGCATTTTGAATTTCTCAGCATTTCCGGCGGATTAAAATTTAAACAGATTGTCAATCTATCTTACTTTGTAGATAACCGAGTCGAAATTTGAAATAAGGTAAACAAGTATTCTTTTTTTTTATATAAAAGCTATAGATTTATGAGAATGTTAAGTAAAAGTGGATTTAGAAGGTCTTTAATTTCATATCCAAGGTAAATTTTCTTCTAGGGAACCTTTGGTCAATAGTGAGATGGAGTTCAGGCATACGGCTCCGATAAAATGAACTGAGTTATCTTCCTTTGCAGAAGAATTTGACTTATATTCACAATAAACATCTGGCCATCAAACAAGATTACACGGGTTAAATGTGTTTTTAGGTAAGACAACAATAATTTTATACTAATTGTGCAAAGGAATTAAATATGTGGGGCAAAATGTACAGTTAGACTAACTTTTATTAAATACACGTAAATTTATTAAGGTTTTTCCTCGTGAGTTCTACAAGGTGCTATAACTACACATAAATTTAATCAAGGTTTTTTTATCGTGTGTTCTGTAAGGTGCTAAGGGCATGTGATATTGATCTTATTAGACTTAGTATTACGTTCAATACCCTTTGCATGTTTTGTGTTATGCCATCATGTGCTGAAATTATTGTATTATTTTTGCTTTAATATAGTAGTATTATGTGTGTATATCGCTTTTGTGTACTACAGAATAATATTTCAACATAGTACTATTTACGAGTTACAGACCAAAGAGTTCAAGCAGTAACGAGTTTCCTGTGATTAAAAAGGAGCGCCGAATCAGAATTTTCGTACATTCCTTGGCCTAACCTTTCAATGTTTAGTGTCACTATGTGCTTCATTACGCTTCCACTTCATTACTATCCTCGCAGCTTGTTGAACTGACAGTTCTGAAAAGATATACACATAGAGCCATAATTACCAATGGGGCAACTAGGGCAGGGCTCTGTCCTCAGGAGGCTGTGTTTTACCCTGTGATAAGTACATTATGCACTCAAATTCCCCATATTTTCCAAAGGTACCAATTATTTCTTCATACTTATTAAATAATTCAACCCGAATGGTATTCAAAGCAAATGCGACAGAGATCCATGACGAAGCAATTGATTTTGCTCAAAGGTTTCCTGCGGATGTGTTATAAACATTTCCATTACAATTACTTTTAGTTAAGGCGCCATTTAAAGAGGAGCTTGAAAAATTTAATAACGTCAAAGAATCAGCAGATCTGTTAATGAATAAATCATAGTTCATTTTCATCGAGTTTTCCTAATGTATCATGAACTTTATGGTTCCTGTGACTTTAGCTAAGGCTGAACGACTATTCTCAAAATTTTTTTTTCTAGTGGTAGACTGTGAACAGTTACAGTTTTGTAACAGAATCCATTAATCCACTAAGGCCAGATGTGGTAGTCTCTTTATTATAGAGGCACCTGACAGGTGGGCCACCATTGCCTCCTATGAAGGGATGGACAGTCACAATCATGCCTTCCCGGGATTCGAACCCAGGCCCTTTGGTACCGCAGTCAGTATCCCCTAACCACTATACCGTCTGGGCGGCCTATTCTCAAAACTAAAATTAATGATAAAACAGAGCAGTATACGCCAGGTCAGACTCAACAGTTTAGCTTTGCTGTCAATTGAAAATAATCGTGTCCAGAAAATTAACTCCGGTAAAATACCTAATGAGTTTGCTTGCTTAACAATTAAAAAACAGAGATGTTTGTAAAATTAAATTGCACTGAACAATTTTTTAGTAAACGTTTTAGCTTAATTATACTGTATATCTTTCTAATTACGCTCTGCATGACGTCAAATAAAATCGAACATCATATTTCTTTTGACTTGACAGGATTAAACAGGAATAAGAAATAGCATGTAATAGCACAAATTAACGAGACATTTATCATAATTGTTTTCATTCAATGAAAGTGTATAAAACTACTTTAACAAAATTACCAATAGCATAAAATAAAAGCATAAAATTCAATTCAACAGCAATATTGTAAAATAATTTTTAAATCAGCATATCTTTAGAATTTCCGACACACAGTGTTGGACGCTGGCAATAAAAGTGTTTTGTTTCTGTACAGTTTTCCCATTATTCGCTTTGAAATCATTGAATTTCTTAATCAAAAATTCGTTAAAGTGTTACAAAATATGTAATCGATAATAAAACAATTTCCAAATTCCAAATTTGGGTTTCCAGATGCCCATATTCGGAGGAGTATTACGTTATTCAAAATTCTATACTTCTAGGTACCGTTATTTTATTACAATGCGAGAACCATGCATACATTTACATAGATTCTTCGTTACTTAATTTCTTTAATGTAATACAGGGCTGTAATATTTGGTGGCAACATTTTGATAAGTGAATCAACGAAGAACGAGAATAGACGCAAAATGCCAAAACGAAATAAGATTTGGATTAAAAAAAGTTGTTAAGTTTGGAGTTGGAAGAAACAGTAAAGACAGAGTTTCTCCTTATCATTTTTGGACCGGAAGGCATAATTCACAAGTGCACATTAGTATCGTCACTGAGAGAAGTGTTTCAAAAATGGACCAATGAGTCTTGTACCTCTTGTGACGCTGAATCTTTGAAACTGTGTACATGAGGGCATATACGTTTCGTTCTGCACTTGTTTCGCAGTTGTGGTGTATAAATTGTGGTGTATAAATGCTGCTATAATTTTAGTAGAAAATCTCGTAGTGCTTTCGTTTTATAAGTTTCTTTAATCATCAACATCTTACTTTCGCGAAATTTATCCCGCGCTGTTATTCGGATTAATATTCGTGGCATATTATCGCCCTTTATATCGAGAAAATGACTGAAGTTACAATTAGCATCAAATACATTTATTACTAACACCCGTGGATTAAGAGAATTCAAGTGCATACTTTTTTTATTCAGCTGAGAATAACTGGAAGTGTTACAATGAATCTAGTATCTTCTTTTATCAGTGCATTCCTTTGATTTTGAATGTGTAAGATTCAAAATATATATTGTGAATGAACTGATTATACATATTGTCAACATTAAAAGTTATATATTAAAAAATTAAATATACCCGTTGTGAATAAGATAAATTCTTTCTGTTTAAAGAGTATTTGTGCAGAAAATGCCCTTATGAACAGTTATTAATGTGAAATTTAACACACTAAACGTGCAAAAATGCAAATTCGGAAAGTTTACTTAAATAAAACTGAGCGTTGGTTATTATTATAAAGAATATTCTTCATATAGACTGCAATAAAAAATACTAAGACTTTTACTACTTACATATAAAACGATGTTTATATTTGATCTAACTTCACACCGAAAATTTTCACAAGAAATTCATGATGTTTTATTTATTTTATGCAGGAAATAGCGTGGCAAAACAGTTTGAACCTTTTTGCTTAAAGTTCAGCAAAAGTAATTTGAAATAATAGAATATTACTTGAAGCCCATTTGTCAGTTCTAGAAGCCACTCCCTCGATGGCGATACAGATGTGCACTTTTACACACTATATAACAAACTAATCAATTTAAAAATGGGACTCGTATTGCTTAATTATTTATATAAATTTATTTTTACTTACAGTTCGTCATACATCTAACTGATGCTATTTATTATATAGTTAATAACTAAATTTTGTGAACATTTGCATGCTTAGAATAGTCAATAAAAGAATGTGCCTAATGTGGAGGTAACCCACTTGCACCCCTTTCACCATCACCAGATCATTCCTCCCCTTCTTTCCAGAATTCGAAAAATACATATTTGTATTTATTTAGATTTAGATTATTTTAGTGTGCTTTATAAATTAAACAAAAGTATAGGAAATATTGAATAATGCTAAAACTTGAATAAAAGTAATTTCTTATATTCATACCTAAAACTAAGTACTTAACAGGTAAATAAAATGCTTACCACATTCTCCCTCCATCTGAAACTATGAAATTTCCCCCCCCCCCAAGTTGAGAACCCCTGGTCTGATGTCATATATTACGAATTTTGGTGCAGAATAATTGGTTGCGCGTTCCTTAAAAACCTTATTACTGAAATTTTAATCAGCAATATTCGATGGAATTGTAATTTTTTACTCTGAGAATTTTAGATGAATGAGTGTTAATTTTAATTGCTTCCCAAAAATTAATTTAGATCATAAAATTTTGATTCCGCAGTTATCGCGATACATAACCAGAACATGGTACCTTTGCGATACGCTTTACGAGAAGATGGATTTACCAATATCGTATCTGTGAGGATATTGTATCTCCAGTCATTATATAATGGGATGTTCCTTAACGGAATAATACCAAGTTATATTTCTTGCAGCTAATGTCATTCAATTCAAAAGATTCCTTATTAAACAAAGACATCTTGTTCTTAAAATTTGTAAAATAACGAATCTTTTTGATGCATTGAGAAAAGATATTTACCATCCCAATTAAAAATATAAATATAACAGTAGCATATTCACTTCTTTAAAATGTTATTATGCGTGATTTTATGTGTGATCAATATTATGTGGGTTTGATTGAACTATATAGACTGCATGAACAGTGGGTTTTATATTTTTAATGCAATTGCATTTCAGTTGTTATTTTTTATTCCTCTTTCATGTAAATGTTTCAAAATTTATATTTTTAAACTATTTATTTTAATATGAAAATGTAATTCAATTGTTTATTATTATTATTTAAAATTAAAATAAATTTAATTAATGATGAATGTATGACAACACATGCTAACTATTGATATGCACCAGGTGTCTCCATTCATCGCCAACTGAAATGAACCGAGTGTTTATTTTTTTAAAGATATTAAATTATTTCTATGAAAATATTTGTGTTCTGCTCATTATGATATAATGCTATTCTTATTACCACTGTCCAAATAATACGTTATATAGTATTTTAATATTTACATGTGAGTCATGTAATCATATATTATTCCTTCAGCTATGAAGTTATAACTTTATGTCTAGATATGCATTGGTACTGAATGTACTTTATTGGCATATTCACAGGTTCACAGAAACAGCAGATTTAGAGAAGAGGAAGACGTCTAATATGGAAAGCCGAAAATATCCTTTTGCAAATATATTTCTGTGGTTATCAATCTTATCAGTAACTGTCGTGATGCCACTTTTATTGAATATTTAGTTGTCATTTTGTAATTAAATTGTAAATAACGTAACTCCAAAATGTTTGTCGATGATTATATTACATTGTATTATTTCATCTTGCTAAAACCTTTCGTTACAACTGAACTTCTCTTTATTAATTCAACATACTAATTTTTACTAGCAAATACTAAACAACCCTCAGTATAAAATCAAATGTATTTAGTAATCAATTCAGTTACAAAACATAAAATAACAGGAGAACACAGTTATAATCCTAAGAAGTTTCAAAGAGTTATAATCAAAGGGTTTCTATTGTGTGTTTCCGATTCCTTCAGACGAATTTATTGAGTTCATAGTGATTCTCTGCCTAGCAATACTCTTGATGAAATCAACCCACCCAACTTCGCGAGTGTCAGCTGTTACAACACCATTTAGATAGTAGCCGTTTCTTCGAGACGGTGTTGGCTGTTATCGCAACATACCCCTTACTATCCACGCTGAGTCGTAAAGCTACCCATAAAAACTTTGCTAACGTCTGCTATTTGCGCCCCCATGAAAATCTAGGGTAAAAAGGGTAAGAACAGGCTGTTATTATGCATTTATTAATTAGATACTTACTAGTTTTTCCTCTCAATAGTTTCTACATCGTTTTAAATTATCTTTTAGTAGAAAAGCGGGAATCTTTACTTGGAAAATCAGAAATTCGTATCAAATGTTACAGGAATATACTACGTTCTATTTAATATAAATCAATTTTTGTCCTAAGTTAAATTTTAATTATCGACCATCATAGATGTACTTAATATTTCCGAAAATATTTCGTATTTACATCAAAGTACAAAAGTTGAAATAATAAGTTAGATGAGCTGTTATGATGCTACTTTCAGTTCTACCTCAATACTTCTAAACTTGTGATAATAGATGTAATAGATAAATACGTTTAATGTTTACGTAAACTATGAATTTAAATTTTTAATTATGATCTAAGGCATGTGTTTACGGCGAGTCATTATTACAGAACCGAAATAATACCTCCCCCAAAAAATTATTTTAGTTCACAAATTTAAATTCGCTGTTGCAGTTTTTCAACTGAGTGAAAAATGTGTAGCTTTTTTATTTGAATACAAAAAATAATATTTTCATGTGTATATATTTGATATTATAAATATTGGGCGTTCACTGTGATTTCAGAATGTATTATGGTAAGGATATTTTTCACATTTTACAATGTTGCTCTAATGTAAATGCAGTAATTCCTATACACTATAAATGTATTTGAGGAAATATGCGATCAAAAGTAAAAACTGCATGTAAGGTAATAAATATCAAAGATTAAAGCGCAATATGCACAATAGAAAGGAACGATAATCATATCTTTGATATCTTTTGATTCCTGTCGAAAGAACTATTTAAGTGACATCAAAAGGATGTAAAATACTTTGCGAGGTATTCTGAAAGAGAATTTGAATAATTTCAGAAATAGAAAGGGAAAACTTGAATATGCGCGTTTTTTCATTTCAAATACTTATTTTGTTTAAATAGATAGTGCCTTGAGTAGATTTGACTGTAGCTAGTTTTCACGTAGAATAGATGCATGCCAAATCAAAATCATCCAGTGACTGCAAGAAAAAATATTGTTCGTCAATAACTGTTTTAGACGATACACTAAAAAGGACAACAGCCATGATGACTCCAACCCCACCCAAAGTTGTTCCAACTACACTGCCAACTACGACGACTGTTGCTACTACAACTACAGAGCCCACAACTACAACAGAACCGACAACTACTGAAGAACCAACGACTACTCCTGAACCGACGACCACACAGTTGCCAACTACGACAACAACTAAACCTACAACTACGACAACGCCTATGACGACGACAACTACAGTAGCGACAACGACTACGACAACCAAACCGCCAACAACTACGACCACTCCAAAGCCAACAACTACAACTAAACGAACAACTACTAGGCTCACCACTACAACAAATCCTCCAACTACTACCCCAGATCCTTCAGGTATTATAAATAGTAACATTTAGAAGCGTTAACATTATTCTTACAGGTAAAGTATCTCCAAATAAGCATAATACAAGTTACATAGCTCAAGGAGTTTTAGCTAGTTTACGTGTGTGTGTTCATATTATTCATGTTAAGTGTTCATATTTATTTTTATGCCGAATTATTCATTATTGTTGTTTATAGTTTAGTTTATATTCCTAGTCAGTTTATTTTCAGAATCCTTTATTAATTTTGTTTAAATTAGCTTTTCTTAGCTTTGCTTTTAAACAATACATTATTTACTAATTCTTAACTAATTCAAATTATAGCTTAAAAAATGTGCTATATGTCTCACAGAAAATAATGATTTATTTTATTGTAAAATAGTATATAGCGCATAATCATGCACGAAAAGCATGAGACGAAAAAATGCAACAGATTAAATGTTATAAAAAATCCGCACTTGATAATATATATACAAGGATAGATTATAACTGTTATACATTTGTTAAAGTTTAAAAACTATTTCATATTAGAATAATTTTTACCAACATCCGTACAATGAAATATCTGAGCATTTTCTGCATTCAGTTAGCACAGTAACAATTATAAATTAGCTTTAATACCTTATTTTAGCAGATAGAAGCGCAAATAGACGCTATATTTCTTAAATCGAGAAGTTTGAAATGTTTATCCATACACAAGAACGTTTTCGTTTTTTCCTCCATTCTCTCATTAAGATAAAGTTTTATTTTACAACAAAGTACTATAGTTTATGAATGAAATCATACGAAAGGAGAGTATCTCGAACATAGTGCATATTTAGCATAACTCTTACACTGTAATGAATTATGTAATCCATTTAGGACTTGTAGCAAGGCAATTGAAACGCGTTTTAAAATTTCTAATTGAAAATTGTGACTACTCTTCCTTTAGCCAAATTTAATTTTTGTCACTCATCTAAATTTCCCAAACAGTATACTTCTCAAATTGTTCTATCTAATTATGCATAATTATGAGTTGTTTTCTTAGACACGAGGTATGGTGCCACTACTTCATTTCACCTTTCTGACTTGGTTGCCGCGGGAACGCCTGTTTATAACGATGGACCCGTTCATTCATCCGAAGATGGTCCCGAAGGATTTGGTAACTCAGCTGACTTTGGCGAGAACGAAGGAGAACCAGAGAGATCCTGTTTGAAGATAAATGATTTGACGAAATCTACCCGTGGCAAAGCTTCAGAGGAGCAAAATAGATGTTGGAGGAATCCTATCAATTGCAAATACGGATTTTCGGCCAGTATTTTTGCCAAATTAATCTTCGACAGGAAAGACAATAGTAAAAGATACCTTTTTAGCACAGGTAAGGATGAGTAATGTTATAATACGATTCCTTAACAAAGCAAAATTTTTCGGAAAAAGTAATTGTTTACTTGTATATAAACAGTAAATAATTTCAGTAGTTTTCATTTTCAATTTTTTTTTTTCATAAAAATGATCACATATCATGAACAGAGCTCCCATGGCAAGGAACCAGAATGAGGAGATGATGATGCTGATATCGCCAGTCTAAAATATCCTCTCTACTGTAAATGGAATAGAATCACGTCAGTTTAAAATTTGACAAAATGCAGCATTTTATTGGCGTTGATTTTTATAGAAAATTTTTACGTATTTCATGGGATATCATGCCTGTCGTCTTCAAAATTCATAGACCTTTTCTATAAAATTAGTATGAACATAAGGCTGAACTTTGCCAAGCTTTGAGTTCTTTCAATGTATTAACATGGCTCTTATTTTAGGGAATAGTCTTGAAGTATGACGTTTTCGTAGTTTTTCTTCATGTGGAAACAAGTCCCTTTTCCTTAGACAGGCTTCCACAAAGGCATCCGTCATCTTGAGGAGATAGTTTCAGGTGCTTTGTTGCAACCAGTTATGCAAAAAAATCTTATATTAATATAGGGTGTCGATGGAACAACGCTCACACTCTGTATTTTCAAATTTCTTGTTCAAAATAAAAATTATTTAATATATGAAGTGAGGCTATTATTTAATATATGAAGTAAAACTAAAGACTAATGGTTAGTGCTACAATTTAAGTCTTAAAGAATAAGCTTCATAGCATAAAATGTTTTAAGATATTTTATGTAATAATTAGACGAAAATATTCACGAATTTTGAGTGTTTTTCATTCTTGGAGAATTTATTCGTTTGTTGAATATTTTAAAACACAAGAAGGCTTTCTATGAAACGGAATGCCTTCATAAAGGTCTTTGTAAGGAACACTGGAACATTATACATTTACAAGCATCCATGCTTTCTCCGGGATTCCAACTCGGGCCCTTCGGTACCGCAGTAGGCTTCCCTAACCACTTTACCCTCTGGGTGGAGACTTTCATTGATATAAGGCATTTATACTTTATATGAAGGCTTTCAATTATGTGTAAAAATTTCACTTAAAGAACCTGCATTAGTAAGAAACTGGACAACTGACTACTTTTTTCATTAAAATTTTAATTAATTAATTTGTTTTGATAGCCTGCATATTTTTTAATAATTTACATTTAAATCTATATTTAATTCTACATAATTTTTTTTTTTTTTTTTGACTAAATTTTATGATTACAGGAGGTGATGCAGAAGGTGTACCTGGTATTGCTGTATTTTGTAAGGGCATATACATACATGCTGTTGTGTCTACAGGAGAAAATGTGTGGGCTATTTATGTAGCTGGATTAGTTCTGAATGATACTTGGAGTAATATTGCATTTACATGGAGTCAAAACGAGGGTTTGGATGTAAATATTATTTTATCTGAATTGCTTTCTTAAAAGTTATGTTTTAAAGCAAGACTAAAATGAAAAATATTTATTGTTATATTTCCTTTCTTCTTGAATAATCAATGTAGTATTATCAAAGAAATAATAAATAAAGTGAAAAAAGGCCATTTTAATCATAGACTTATATTCAAACATCATTAGAAATATTAGATTTTCTCTTTCCATTTACAAACTTCGATTCCTTAATGTACTTGTAACATTTGACAAATTGTATTTTCACATCTGACAGTCAAAAAGGCGGTTTACAGAATATATCTCTCCCGTTTTTTTCAAAAGTTTATATCAGTATTCAAAGCATAGTAAGCAAATGAGTATTTTTTATATTGATGTTAAAAATCAGTATCCTTAACCTTTCAAACTTTCGTGTCTGTGACATTATACTACTACAAGAATCATCCACCCTACCTGGCAGTCGCTGTTACTCGATGTGACATACGGTCTTTAATTTATTATGTATGAGGCTTCGCAAACTGCCACTTGTCAGATGTATTACTATTCGTCATAACAAAATACAGTCAGTTAATCTTCTAATTAAAACCATACCTTGCTGGATTAATTGAAAGTTTTAAAAGCTATGTATGCAACAGATAATAATTTATATCTTTATGTAGTTATTAATATATATATATATATATATAACATATAATTATGACACAGATTATTTTCATGTAATTACCTTGTGATGCCCGTTTATACTCATTAACATAACTAATTGATAATTTTTTATGAAAATTTCACCTTCATTGCAGTTAATGAAAACTTCTTAACCGCATATATTATGCAACAGGTAGGGAATAATTGTTAACAGTAATATCGAGTAACAGCGATCTTTTTTATGAAAAATTTGATAGACAATTTTATGAAATTTTTATATTTGATATACATTTTTAAAGAATGAACAAAAATATTATCTAATCTTGCGAATTATGTTTCAGTTGTATATAAATGCAAAACGGGAAGCCTACGTGAAGTACCCAGAAACCATCCCACCTCCTGTTCGTCAACCCCTCAAGCCACTGCAACTGACAATTGGTTGCAGAAGATTAGGTAAAAATATGTATGATGACTATGCTCGAGGAAAGCTGGACGAGTTCGCCACTTGGCAATATAAAGTTTCTAAAGAAAATGCCAGTTATTTCTTAGGAGGCCTTGGTAAGTAACAAAATATCTTTTCTGAGAGAAAGAGAGAAAAGTATATAAAATGTATCAGTTGTTTGCATATAACCTGATTACATAATAGTTAATCATTACAATTCCCGCCTTGTTAAGGATTTTCCAACATATGCGTTCATCGATGCAGTAAATGGCAATTAAATTTTACTTTGATCTAAAAAAAATTCCGGAAACTAAATAAAAGACCAAAACAAGAAACATCGAAGATTTTAATAAGTTATTAAAAACTTTCCGCATTGTGAAGAAATTTGCCAGAGAATTATCATTAATTATAACAATATTTCAGATGAGAATTTATGACCATCCGTAACTTAACAGTACAAACCTTTTTTTATGAATTTTTATAAATAGCAATTTGTTGTAAATACTCAAGGCATTTTACACATTTTTATCACGTGGTTTACCACTTTCATCTAAGAGACTTTCGTTTAATAGTTTAAAAGTGATCATAAAAATTTAAAAAGTTATTATTAAAAGTTAAATGTAACATTTTTATGTATAAAATGTATTTAGAAACTCTAAAACTCTTCAAACTGTTATATCAAATATGAAAAATGATTAAAGTTAAACAAAAGTACTTTACCACAGCATCAAGAAAACAACTTATTGGTTATTTAGTATTTGCATAATGTATAAATAATATAAGGATGACCCTTTTTTTTTAAAAAAAATAACTGGAGCGTGTAAGTACTTTTATAGTTCTCAATTCTAATAAAAAAATAAAAATAAAAGTCCTAAGTAAAACCTAATATATTTATTTACATAAATCTTTGTTTACTCTCTTTCTGTCGTTTTCTAAATTGTATGGAAGATAACAAGAAATAAATACTCTTTTTTATTGTTGTTGTTGTTGTCACTTCTAAAATTTCCATACTAGTACAAGAAACAACGGCTGTAATGTTCGTCACGTCGTTATACGATATACAAACATTAGTTCCCTAGGGAACGCATGGAAATCGCGAAAGTTTCGCAATGTAGAACTCAAGTTTTCTTATTCCACAGGTATGCAACTGCCTGTCTTTTTAAAACAAACAGACTTAAGATGACATAAATTATTCATCGAAATAGAAATTTTTCTATTATATTATTTTTTCATCTTAATATTTTCTAATTGCAATACCATGTGTATTTTTCTTCTTTCACAACTAATATCGTATTTTACTAATTACCTAAAATTCTTAATATTTATTATAATTTGTCCTGGAATTTTAATGCATAGAATATGCTATAAGAAAAGATCTTTTTATAGCATGACTCCTTTTCTTACCAAACGCTATTGTATTTTTTCAGCTTGGAGACAAATAATTAAATAAAGTAAGGATCTTCAAAGCAAAAGATACAGTCAAGCTTGAGATAGGGTAAAAATTATTGGAAGTCGTAGAAACATTTTTTATGTTTACAGATTTTCGGTTGTGTGTGAGCAATTAATTTTTAGAATATAGCTGTCCATTGTTATCATCCCCTTCGATTTTATTTCTGATGAGCTGGAAATGTCGATAAATTATGTCTGTACTCAAGTGAGTGTTTTATTAAAATAGAATGAAGCATCAAAAAAAATTTCCGTAAATTAAAATGTTTTTTAATTAAAAAATGAAAAGACAGAAGTGCGTTGAGGAGATGATATTATACGATTGCCGTAAAATTCATTCCTTATAATGTTAAACTAGCGCACGCAATTTTACTTCGGAAAACATTTCCATATCCCTCTACTGAAAGCACTTATGTCAAAATTCTTGAACAACTGCGTTTACGCTGGTCAACTATTTCGAAATAAAATTATTAAATCTCATCTTTGTTTTGTAAGGGAAGCAAATAAAAGTGTTCAGTTATTAACTGAACTCAACTAATGGTAAAACTATTAATTTAAAATTGCAAAATCTAAACCTCCTTTGTAAAAGAAAGTTTTAATAGCCTGTTTAATTCATCAAACTGAAAATAATAAAAGAAAAAAATAAATAGAAAACTATAAAATGCAATAGGTAATACACAATAAAATAAGGAACAGATTAAAGGAATAACTTTAGTAGTGCATTATAAGGGTTACTATATTGTTTTATGTACGTTTACACCATATTAAGTGCTATTTAACTATAGCAGCGTAAATATTATTTAAAGCATGTGATACGATGAAAGTAATTTATATGAAAAATACATGAACACTTTTATGTAATGTTTTGAATATGCGCTGCTTATTAATCATTAGGGAATGAACAAACCACGGAAGATGTTGGTCTACCGTGCATAAGAAATTTTCTTCCAAAACCCCGATGACTAAATATTGGCACCCAGTCATAAAATTAAAGTAAGCATAAGGAGAGGAAAATCCATAAATTTTAGAAATTAATTTACCAATATTTGAAATAGGGGCAAAGAGAAAACTGAGTAAGATAACACCAAAGATAAATTTAAACTATTAATCAGAGGTAGGCGAATGCTCATTTTAGGAGAGCCCGTTACACGGAATACTCCTGCATTTGTGCATGAAAAAGTCCGATTTTGCAGAGTCATGGTCTCAGCCGATATTTCTATCAATGACCGCACCGACCTGCACATATGAGGAACGGAACGCTGAAGTCTCAGCGGTATACTGATGAGATTCTTAGACTTACTGTGGTCTTTTACGCTGCAGCTATCGGAGATGAATTCATTCTTATGAATAATGATAACGGCAGGCCATTTCATTCTCAGCTAGTCGAGAATTTCCTTTTCGACGAAGGAATCCTCCGAATAGATAGCCTAGCTTGTTTTCTAGATGTGAACCCAATAGAATATGTTTGGAACATTCTAGGGAGAAGGGTTGCTACTCGCTTATCACCCCTCAGAAACAATTCAATAATTTCAAAGCTCTTTTGCTCAGGAATGGAAGAGAATACCCAGTTTCTCATTGATACTATGCCTCGTAAGTGTGCGGCATTGCTTTCGGTCAGCAAAAACCATACCACCGATTGAAACTATTTCTATTCGGGAAATCCTATTTTCCTTTGTTTGTTTGTATAATATGCACAAATTGTGAATTATTTCTTTACCGACAAATATTGGCAACAAAATTTATTATTCCTTGTTCGTTGCTTCTTTTTCTTTTCTCGTATCTTATAATACCTACACACGATATATTAGTGACCAAAACATTTCCTCAACCGCAGTTTATATCCAAAATCATAACATCCCCTAATTGTTTTCAACAGTGTATATGGAATTTAGTTTAAATATCACGCTGAATAACAATAAAAAAAAATCCAACATTAAGAATCAGTGTAAATTTTAAAAAATTTTCTTCAGTACTAGTTTCGATAGTTTTTTAACTACCTTCTTCAGCTGCTAAGTGCAAATGAACCAAATAAAGGGGTGCAGAAAGAAAAGATAAGGATAGAGATAAGATAAGAAAAGTTACACAGAAGTCAAGCTACCGGCGCCATCTATTGATGAAACAAGAATACTAAAACAAAATTTCTTTAAACGCTAAAGGGTATAGGCTGAAGGTTATTTAGATTTTTTAAAAGCGTTTTACATCCAAAAAAACATTTATATTCTAGTTAATGACCCCAATTGCAATCTACCTTTAAATTAAGCCTTTAAAGAAATTTTGTTTTAGTTTTTCTTGTTTCATCAATAGATGGCGCCGGTAGCTTAACTTCTATCTAACTTTTCTTATCTTATCTCTACCCTTTATTTGGTTCATTTGCACTTAGCAGCTGAAGAAGGCAGTTCAAAAACTATCGAAACAAGTACTGAAAAAAAAAAAAAAAAAAAAAAAAAAAAAATTAGAAACTTACGCTGATTCTTCTTAACGTTGGACTTTGTTTTTGAGTGTGTATGGAACTTGATTCAGCTGGAGCAAAAATGAAGAGCGCACTGTTTTACTACGTAAAACTGAAATTGTATATTGCAATGGTGATTTTTACTTTTGCTTCAGTCTATTTTCATTCGTAAACTGCGATAGTATACCATCATAACTCTATCTAACTTCTTGACCGAGGTGAATTCAACATTTTACTAAAAGTTTAAATTAAGTAATTAAACTACTGCTTAAATTTCCAATAATTAAACAAAAAGGAATGCACAAAAGCTAAGACAGGAAGAAAAGTAAGTTATGTACGGAACAAAACCTTTAAACTTTTAAGTTTACTGGCAATTGTTCTTCTGATAGATTAGAATGTTTCAAAAGATCAAGTTGTATTAGTTCGATTCCTGATCTTATAGGTAATTAAACTACTGCTTAAATTTAAATAATTAAACAAAAAATATTCAATTATAAGAGAGAAAGCAAATTATGTTATATTTGCTTTAAAACTGCAAATTAACTGTCAAATTTACTTATATCAGACCAGTGGATAACAAAAGATCAAGTCGGATTAATTTAGTTCCTGATCCTGATGATCGTTCCTCGACAGATACATGTTTTTAAAAATAATCTGCATTTTTTCACCAGAGAGGAGCCTTGAATACTTGATTTGACTTTCAACAGTAAAGCTTGTAAAGTATTTCTCCCGTCCTCTTAGCATGCCTTTGTGGTGTAATGGTCAGCACACTTGGCGCGTATTCGAGAAGTCCGTAGTTCGAGTCTTGGTGAGGGCATTACTCATTTTTCATCTCTCCTAAAAAAAATGAATCAACTACTAATTTTTTTCACCATTAAGGCATTTGTAGATGAATTTATTTTACTATTGCTTTACATCGTATAATTTCAATGCTTGTTGTAAACGTTTCTTCAGCATTTCACTAAATTTGCGGGTCTATTTGAAGTTACGTTGTCGCTCGTTATTTATGTAGTGATTTTTTATTAATTACTTACATATATTTATTCAAAAACAAAAGTGTGTCTCAATTCCCATTTAGTTCAGAAAATGCGGTTATTTATAGCTGCCAAATTCAAACTCTAATTCAATACGCTAAAGTAAAATTCATGTACAAATATATTATTATTTCCTCCTGCATCTGATTTTTCTTATGCGATCAGTCCATTAACAGAATTTTTACTGTGACTGGAGGAGTATATTAGCATTTGTACCGCGTTGAACATGGCTGCAATAAAAGGCATCTTTCCGTAAAAAAATGTTTTTAGAATTTTCTGCTTTTATGATCTCTATCTTTACAAAAACTGGATGATATCAAATTTTCATAGAAAATTAAATGAATCCCTTGTACACTGCGAAGAAAAAAAAAAAAAAAAAAAAAAAAAAGGACAGTTTTATATCTCCCTTTCTACTCGACCGATTGACGATATTCAGATTGTATTTTTCAGATCTCGAAAGCGATAGGATATGCATTAGATTTATATATATCAATTGTTCCAATATAGGTATTTTGACACAAAATCGGATTTTTTCTGAAATGGCATGCCAGTTGTTTTCCATATTTCGATTCTACGACTCAAATTATGCTTAAATATTAAATTTTGTGCGAAAGTATATTAAAAAATGTTTGTTGGCGCATTTATTTGAGTTTGGCCAAGAATAATTCACTTGGCGAACGTTTTAATATATGGCAATCTATTTTCCTTTCCTTTTTTATTCACGAATATTTTCGGAAATTTTTAATAAAAACTCTACTTGTTTGCAGATATACTTAAAAATACATCTACTTTAAGATGATGATAAAAATTTTATAGGTTATAATACAATATTTTTTCGAAAAATTTATAAAAATTATTTTAAAACAATGGTTGAATTTCATTTGAAATGAACCTAAATTTCGAAATATGAAAGAAAGAATCAAATAAGTTTAATAGAGAAGGGTTAGTTTATTAGTTTACAGCAAAGCACTTGAGGGCTATCTGCCTTAAGGGAGGGATGCCTTCCTGGGGGACTTTTTAAGGGAAACTGGCTCGTATACACGTTTCACATGAGGAAAACCACGAAAACACCCATGCAGCCAGCCCGTTCGCAGGATTCGAACCTCGGACCGAACTACCAGTGTTCAGCGACTTTACCGCTCGGGCGCTGGTGAGCGCTAATAGAAAAGGGATATTAATAAATATATACCATATTCAATTAGCATTGAGGAGCTCAAGTTTTGAGAGCTAATTGTTTAGAAACTATTCGTGCGGCTTTTACAAAACTTGGCAGTTTGACATAATTTGAGTCTTAGAATCGAAATATGGAAAGATATTGGCATACCGTTTCATAAAAAGTTAGAGTTTCTGTCAAAATACCTATATTAGAAAAATACTATATGTGTATCCTAAGTCGCGCTTTCGAAACATGAAAAACGCAAGTTGAATTTCGTTAATCGGCCCAGTAGGAACAGAAGATACAGGAAGTGTCCCATTTTTTTTTTTTTTTTTCGTTTTCCCCCAATGTACATTATTTCATAAAGTTTTTATTAAAGGTTTTAAAGAAACTGGTGTAAGAAAAACTTAGGAAAATTAAGGTGATTCTGCATTGATTGCAGATTTAAACGCGAGAAATTAAATCAGTACCATATGTTATGTTATTATATATTACCATATGTTATGTTATGTTATTACTCTTTTATTTCGTTCATTATAATTTCTTCTATAGCTTTTACTCGAACTGTTTAGGAAGTTAAAAGAGGAATTGAAACAATGCTTATTTCATTGCTCTTAAAGTATTTTTAAACATATTATTTTGTATTAATTCTTAAAATTATTGGTGTTAAACTCGTTAATAGAGTGTCGGGAAGTAAATTATTTTACAAAGATTGTGTGTCCGTTGCTAAAACAATGAAAACAAATGTTAATACCTTTACACATGATTCCCATTATATTGTAGCTTACCCCGGATATCTCAATAACCTTTTTAGAAACGATCAAATGGTCACGATTACGTTAGGAATCGGACTAAAGGTTTGGACCACTGTTTACGAGTACATTTTCCATAATATATTGTAAAGATCTCTCCGAATTATTAAACATGCATATTTCTGTCTAAAATATAGGTCTTAATGATAAATGGTATACAAAAAAAGTGTTTAAGACATACTAAATTTCCAATAATGATCAGAGTTCATAATATTAAATATGCATCTGTTTCTCTGTCTATTAATTAAGGTGTCCTAGAAAAATTTCGGCAACATTACATGGATTTGAAGAAACCAGATGCTGTTGGAATCTTTTCGGTACACCACTTCTTTCTAGAGACATATGACTCCAAAATATCAAAACGCCACAACCGATTAAATGAATAGATTATCCCCAGGACGAATTCTTGTGATGTTCTCTCTATTCGTAGAACGCCAGATTTGAAACTCAATAATTTCCTCTTATGTGGCCATGCGAAATCAGAGATGTATGTGAAGCTTTTGAACGTTGCAAAGAAAATCATTTTAGATATTGACAATATTCGAAAGACGCCAAGCATCATTTTCGAAAATGACAGGCTGGCCTTAATTCAATCATGCAAATACCGCTCTCTTTGGTGTAAATGTTTGGTAGTTTGAGTACTTACCTTAAAATATCTAAGATAGAGGCAGTACACGCTATTCGTGTGTATGTATTGCAGTCTTTAATGTTCAATAATGTAAATAAGTGAGCACTATATTAGCATAATATGTATTGTATTTTCCCTGTGCATGGTAAAGAATGTACCGTCATTTGCTGTTTGGTATGTGTACTTCTTTCATTAATCTTCCATTTACAGTTCTTTTGTTGGCTCACCATCTGGCGCTGATTTCGAGTCTAATTTCGAGTCCGCAGTTACTAATAGACATAAATAAGGTTTCAGGACACATCTTTATTTTTGCCTCTTTTTTTAAATAACACATCTCCTGTCTATAAGTTTCATTATTTCAGACACCTCCACCGTTATCATCGAAGGTCCGCTATTACATTACGATGTCACTTCATTTGCTTTGCTGGAACTAAAGGCGCGAGATTTTGTTGCGTAACTTCTGAGCAAAGCTGTATACCGAAACCATTCCAATAATAGCAATTTGTTTCTTCTAACCTTCCATATATGCAGTATTGTATTGACTCATTTTTTCTGGTACATTCCTGTTTTGCATATTTTTATTGTATTATACATCTCTATGGAATATTGATATTTATTCTAATTTTCACCTGACTTTTAATTATTAGAAATGTATTTTTATTTCCATGCTGTACATAGAACCGGATAAATGTAAGTAATATTCATAAATTAACTAAATACAATGTTTTTATTTCGTTCAGACTATATGACTAATTACAGTGCTTTTATTCTTCGTATTTCTATAAAAAAATTATAGTTTTTTATCTGCTGCTCATTTAACATTTCTTTATTTTGCTATAATGGTGGTAGTTTTCATGTCTCATAACTTCGCTCTTCTTTAATTCTTATAAATTTAATATAATGTTTTAAAATATAACTGAGGTTTTCATTAGAGGCTGTCTGTCTTGAAATGCATTACTATATTTTACTTTTTAGTAAACGTGCAATTGTATCTCAAAATCATCATGTACCTTTGACTGACCAGTTCTAACTATACTGAATAGGCTAGACCAGTTCAAAACTATACTGAATAGAATATAATCGCTATACTGAATAGAATTGTAAAGCTGGCCTTGCAGCCAAAATGCTTAATCAATTAGATAACAGAAATATTCTAGCTTTTATTACAAAAATTCAGTTTTAGCATACCGTTACCAAAAGGATATCAATTCATGCAACGAAGGACGCACAAAGTGATTAGCGCCTCAGTAAAACAGAAATTTGTCTTAACTACGCATGAGTTGCAATTCAAAAATCACATAACTTTACTATGAGACTGTTACATAGACTTCTGTTATGCTTTTTCACCTTCGCGTTCTTGTGTTCTACAATGCTTTTATAACGGAGATTTCAGTTGTTTCGAAACGATTTTGAGTTAAGTATCGTTTTTATTAATTCTCTACTTGTTTTATGTATAAGAGGAAAAGTAAAATTTACATAGCTATTTAAATATATACAACAGACAGCTAAATGCCTATGGAATAATAACTCAAACAAACTGCATTAATTACGCAAATGGCTGATATTTATGTAATAATAATTTTATTCGCCTACTCTAAAGCAGTTTAAATACGTAAAGTATGTGTTTTTTTACCTTATTTCGATCGCGGCTTTGAAAATCCTAGTACACATTTAACAAACACAAAGTTGTAACTCATTTTGTGAGAGGCCCCTGCCTGCATTTTGGCTGTTTTCACTGAATAAAATTTCCATATTATTTATTGGTGGTGCTCTTTTATTATTTCAGAAAGGTAATTTTGTAATGAATAAAACATTCTTATGCGTACTTATGATACTTCGAGTAGCATATCTATCCTATGCACTGAAGTCCCGTGTTCAACTTCGAACGAGAGCTGGGTGAGTTTTTGAAGATTTACCACTTTTAAACTCTTTCTATTCTGTGCGTCCGGAGCTCGAAATAAAATAAAAGGGGACAATATTTAGTCTCTTAGTTAGGGTTGGTCGATTGGAGGTCAATCAACCCTCTCTCAGTCGTCTTTAAATGGAGAAATGTAAAGAATTATGACGGTCTTCCTATGTAGCGTTGTGGCACACTGGTTAACATATTCAACCAGTATACTGAAGATCGTGCTGGATCCCAGCAAGGACACAATTTATTTTCGTGGATTTGTTTGTATTCTGAACTCCTTTAGCTTTTCATAACTTCATTTATGAATGAAGTTACGAAAAAATTTAATTAATTAGAATTATCAATTATCATTTATGGTACAAATAACCCCCATGTAATATAGCTTTCCCATAACATGGTTTCACTCACCAGTGTAAGGGAATATTATTTCTAAACTGATATTTTTATTTAACCAACTACACCAAAAAATTCAGAAAATTTAAATATATAGAAAAGCATTCTTGAAACGTATTAACTTAGACAAACAAAATGAAAACTATATATTTTACAATTGCAGATCTTTTCACTGAAAGAAACGAGAATTCAAGAAGGAACTTAACTCATTTTCATCTCAATACGAGACATTGATAAAGATCTATTTGTAAAACGCATGCACATGAAAAAATCATATTTTGGGAGCAAAAGTTAAAATTCTGTAAAGAAAACGTCAGAAGCTAATGATATTTTGCTAGGAAGAACATACTTAATGGTGCTTTGCAGTGATGAACAAGAAGCAATTTAACGTGCATTTAAATGCATTATTAATATTAAATATAACATTAAATAGTACCTTTTATCAATTACTAACATTTGTGTTAAACTTATTTCTGGTAGTCATAGAAGATGCGCAGTATTGTCAGTTATTGTAACATAGCTCTATTTTTTCTACTGGTTTCTTTGTTTCATATGCAGATATCCCTAACAAAGCAATTTTTAGAAATTCAACGATTATGCTGTAATGGAACTTACTTGAACAATAAATTTTCCTCTTCATAAACGGAGAAAAAAAACAGAAATTAAATTAATTGAAAACACATATCATAAAGCATTTGTTTTTTTGAGTGATATTATGTAATGTTGCAAAGAGTATTAAATATTTAAATCTTAAACACATTATTTTTTTTTCAGTATGCAACCCTCCAAAGCACCCTTTAAAGTGCTCCACAGATATTAAAAAGCTAATAAAGCAACTGGTATGTAAAATTAGACTTTTAGTGTCTAAGTTTTGTTCCTCTTTCTTTACTTATGTTTTGCTTAACAACAGTAATGAACAGGCTGTCAAATGTAAGAAACGATCTTGCAACTCAAACTATGCCTTAGTTAAATAAATAAGTTTTCTTATGATGCAAAGAAACTGTAAATGTATTATACATCGCAGCCTGGAGCACTCATCATCCTGCTTTAAGTATTCGTCAGATTTCAGTATCCGTGCAAAGCAACTATTACAAAAATTTCAACAACGCACGTGTTTAGACACGTTATGTGAATTATTATATGATTGATAACATTTTAGCAAAACTGCTTTCGATATAATTTTATGCTCAAGTTGGTTTCAAAACTTAAACTTTAGTCAGCTTGTACATAAAAATTTATGTTAATAACAAAGCTTCAACCTGTGACTAAATAAATTACGCACACATATAACTCGAGTTTTATATTTAAAATCTTAAAAACTCTAAATTTTGTCTTTCTTTTAGGACACAATGGACTTATCTAATGTGGACACAGCTATGACGACAATAATGCATATAGTCGAAATTTCTAAGGGTGCAAAGAAACCTTCAACAGGTGTGTAAACTTCGTATGCTACTGCAAAGTTAAGCAAATATTTATTATATACGTAACTGTTGCATAATTATGTAGTGTACAAAACTTCGATCATACTGCAATTTTCTTATGATTAATCACAAGTACAATTGTCAGAAAAAAAAACCCTGTCCAACCATGTAGGGGGAAAAATTTGCAAATTTTGAAAAGAAAATGGCTATTTTCCTTTCGAAAAGAACATAATTTTTTTTTTCTTAGATATAACCAATACTGGCACTTTAAAAAGAAAAGATATATTTTAAAGGTGGGAAAGATAAAACAAACATTTTACACCCGTATTCTATTTATGCTTAGAATGTTATTAATTTCACTGTACAAAAGGTGCTTGAGAATGAAGTAGTCAAACAAAAAATATGCTTTTTATGGCTGAAGGTAAAAATTGTAACTATTGGTGTAAGTAAAAATTGGCCTTTGAACGTATAAGAGGAGTAAATAGGTTATTAGTTTGGGAATATAGGAGATCAGTAACAAGTAAGTGCAGCGGCTAATTGCATTTACATCATCTTATCTTGTAACCAGCTCTGATAGCTTTTAAGTATCGAGATCCTTCTCACGAATTCCAGCAATATATAAGTATTGAGGATGTGCAACTGATCTACAATCTTCCAGACGAAAAAGAAGCTAGACTTCTTTCACTTGTCACAGACGTTCAACATATCATACCTCATACACTATACTTTTCCCGTATTGGGTTCATAAATCATTTATTGCTTATCTTAGGCCACAGAATACTCTGTTAGGCACTGGCGACTTTAATTTGAGACGCTTTAGAAATTAATTAGCATTCCCATCCTCTTGCCAATGATATTCAACTATTCGTAACTTCTAAATTATGCGATACTCACGAGACACATTTTGCTTATCTTCAGTGACTTTATTTTCAGTCATTCGGCGTAACGGTAATTTAAGTAAAAATATACTAAAATGCAACAAACAAAATTAATATATTAAAATTTTCAGGGAAGATAAATTACAGAAAATGTTGGGCTACTTTTGGTTCTGAAGATTTCATATCACTTGAAGTATTACCTTTATGTAATAAATTAGAGAAAACGTTAAACTACTTTCGATTTTGGAGATTTCATATCACTTGAACTGTGATTATCATATTTTTGTTCAGAATTTCCTTAAGTTTACTCTTAAATCAAGGACGAAGGATTATAATCCTTCCCAAAGAGAAGCTATCATTCAAAAGCATGTTTTAGTACTGCTTTATTTTTGGTCTCAGATTAGCAAAAACTTTATCGAAATATCGCATGTAGATTATTAGTTAAAAGATATTTTTTATCTTCATTGTGTGACGGTAAATAACGTTCCAGTTATCAATAGTAACGAAATTGCATATGTATTTAATGCTTGGAAGTTCATGTTTTGATCTTCTAAAGATCACTTTCACGATTTGGATATTATTCCAATACTTTTTATTTACATTAATAAGAGATATTTAAGGAAATTGTAGAAATTTTGTGCTTAAAATACACGAAAAGTTAATTAGCATACCTAGCAGAAGGGAAACATTAGTTTTAAATACTTAGTAGACCGAAACAGTACATACAGTTTCAGAAAATAAATGTATGAAAGATTTTGAAAGGGCTAGGTGTGAAGTAACGATATAGACTAAAGAAGCTTAGTATAATTTTTATCCTTAGCCATTTTTTTCTCTTTACCTACTACGAAATGGAGAATTTTTGCTATCGTTATTCAAAAAAAAACTTTTTTATTTATTGCAAGTTCCGCTATTAGGTGCTACAAAGGGGAAAATTTCCCGTGAAGGTCTTTTTAAGATAAACTGTCTCATATTCGCGTTACACATGAGGAAAACCACGAACACGCTCATGCAGCCAATTTGTTTGCTGGGATTCGAAGCCCGGATAGAAATACCAGTACACAGCGGTTCTTAACGCTAGACCGCTGGTGGACCTCATAAAACCACTTGAAAAATAAATTCTCAGCCCATTGATCATGATTTAAAATGAATTTCATATTATATTAACATGTATATATTTAAGTTTTCTCATCTTATATTAAATGCACGTATATAAAATTCCAATTAATACACTACTCAGTAATTAGGTTGCAGATTTTATTGAAAATTAATAAAAATTACAATAATGTATTGCACAACACTTCTATATTTACTTTGTGTATTGGAAAGGTAGACTTCATCAATCATGAATATGGCAGGATATCTTAATTATGAGATTATTTATTATGTTATGTTATGTAGAAGTGAGGGGGTTACCTAATATTTACCCTAAAGATCATTTATTACTAAAATCTCATGATAAATAACTTTGCGAAAGCTATCTACCTTATAATCAATGCTCTTTGCGGAAATCTTAACAAAGAAAAGTGGCCTCCATTCATTTAACACAACTGGAAAATCTGGAATGCCCTATGTGCAGACAACCAGTATTCAGTCGCCAGCAATTGAAGCTCAGTATATTTCATTGTCTTATTATCTCTACCACTCTCTATCAAACAGCAGCAAAATATGTGAATAATAATTATTAAAGTATAGCAACAAAAAGAATGATGAATTTAATAACTGAAAAATACCGATTTCGCAAATATAGTTCTTGCAAAAAAAGTCTAGGATAGTAACCATATTGGTACGTAAATAATATAGAACTTAGGCTTCTCCAGAAACAAAAATAAATAAATTAATATGCATTTTTAATGCCTTTCGTCAGAGCAGAAACATCTAGTTTGACACATCAAAAGATGATCAAACTTCGAGTGATGGAAGTTTTATTGTAATGCAAATGACAAGCTATAAATTAAATAAATTAATTAATTGACGTTTATAACTATATCCCAATGCATAGAAGGAAAATAATCTTAGTATTTTGAATTTTGTTAAATAAATTGCTGTTTGGTTAAGATAAAGTTAATTTTTATGCAACTTTATCGTAGAAAAAAAAACCTCGGTCGTGTTTTGAGGTTACCTTTCTCTGCTGGCTGTATTAACGCACAAAACATCCATTTATTATCATGAAAGTTCGTTTATTTCATATTATTTACCCATTACTCAGTTATGATGCGCTTCTAGTGAACACGTTTTAACGTCAGTTTATCTATTCTGAAAACGTGCGTGCGTTATTTAATAAACTATTACAATATGATGATATGTGAATACAGTATGCCAACTGATGCATTATAATTTTTTTACATGGATATGCATCTTTTATATTATAGTATTCTTTTTACGTATTGCACTTTAAACTTTAATGCATTTTTAGTATTCAGAAACCAGTGCTAAATAAAACATTTTCTGTCTTTTTAAATAATTTCTGCACATCCAACGTCATCGATATGACTACTTTTTTAATACCCTTACAAATATTTTTTTGCCAAATCAATATTTTTTATTTAGACAGCAGCGACAGATAAAGCAGAAAATAACGCAATTATTCAGTTTTCTATTGCAATTTGTTTACTCAGTGATAATAGCTTTTTACTAATGGTTTAGACAAAGAAAAAAACGGTGCAGGTTTAGATGGTATTGATGGAAATGAAGGAGGTGAAGAAGAAGTGGATATCGAAAAAATTAAGAAAGGAAATCTGAAGAACATGATTGCCATAGTGAAGAAGCTTGTAAACAAGACTTCAGGACCTTTCAGCCCAGGCGTGGAACCTGAAGACCTTGGAGTTTTATTAGTAAGCATATCAATAAAATATCTTTAAATTATATACATATAGGGTGTCTACAAGTAAAGAATTCTATTTCAAAGCTGCCTACAAGCGAAACTAGTGATCAGAAAATTGTGAAATTTTGGGGCGGACATAATGAAGGGATGAGAATGTCTTCCAAAAAAAAAAAAAAAAAAAAAAAATAAATTACAAATTGCGTTATTAGAGGGCATTATATTAATAAGTTATATATTTAGTCACACATTTACAATGTTTTATAATTTTACAAATTTTGTTACAAAAAAAAACATGTTCCACATGATGCCTATCATTTTCAGATACCATATAAAATCGGAAAATGGCATGTTCCACAGGCTCGAAGGATGTGCTGGGAAATTTTCAGCACATGGCTTGAAGTGCTGGCTTTAAGATCAGGTAAAGTTCTTGGATTGTCGCGACTTACCAGATGTTTCAAATGTCCCAAAAGCCAAATATCGCAGGGATTGAGGTCTGGGGATCGAGGAGGCCACGCATCCGGCGGTTTCGGTAAAACAATTTTACTAACAAAGCGTGATCTCGTAAACGTATCGTCATTGTGAGCAACAAGCACATTGAGAAAAAGTCTACGCAAATGTTTTTAGGTTTCATCAACAGCTGCTGCGTGACGTCGACAAAGATTTACATTTTTACACCACGCTTTCAAGATAAAACGACATCTAGTGACGAGATTTGGAACTAATATTTTTGATGAAAGACATTCTCATCACTTCATTAAGGCCGCCACAAAATTTTGCAATTTCCTGATCACTGGTTGATTACTAGTTTCGCTTGTAGGCCGCATTAAAACAGGGTTCTTTAATTATAGACACTCTGTATCTTCAAAGAAGACGATACATAATGTAAAAAACAGTAGATGGTTGTGATTGATGTATGTTTAAGTCAATAAATTTCACTGTGGCAGTAATTTGACCCGTAACTGAAGTTTTTACTCTATAAAGAGGGAAAGAGTTTCGGACTCAATTTGGTAGAGTGTGCAGGAAATTTGTTCTACAGCAAATTAAACTTTGTTCCTTATTTTAATTTCTATAAATTAAAAGTATGTTTATCTAACGCAAATATTAAGTAATTTTTTCATAGTGTTACGAATTTGGTATTTAAAAAGCTAATGTTAGTTCAATTATAAATTAAATGGTTTTATTTCTCGCGCAGTGCAGCGCGTGACGAATATTAAAAGAAAGCTAAGCCAGAAAAATTAAAAATACAAGAGCGCGTGCGTTAAATAAATAAATATCTCTTTTTGATTTCGAGAAAGTACTGGAAAATTCTAGCGCGTGATTTTAAAATCTTATAAAAGGAGGAAAACATCTCAGTTTGGTAGTAGTTGCTTAGTTGTTGTTGTTTAGAAAACTAATGGTTGATTGTAGCGAATTCGCGGATTAGCGTTCCTTTAGCGTGTTTGAATTACGTTCTATTGGACATTTGAGTAGTTAAAGATAACTACTGTGAGATATTGTAATACTGCATGATAATTTGAGAAAATTTAAGCATTTTTGTTGTGATAATAATAAATTTTTGTTCATTTTTCATCGGACTTGTGCATTCATTTCATAACGAACCCGTACGCACGCAACAATTTTGGTGTGTCAGAAGTGGGATTTGAATGCCAATAACAAGAGCGATGGAAGAACAATTCAGGCAAAGATGACTGCATTTGCTGCTTTCCAAGAAAGATGGAAGGGCCGTCAACTCCGTTAAGGAAGAAAGAAATGAAATTGGCCGAATCCGTAAGGAAGAAGAAATGAAATGGGCCAGGAGAAAGAAGATTGGGCCAGGAATCCGTTAAGGAAGAAATGAAAATGAAATTGGGCCAAGATTCCGTTAAAGGAGAAATGAGATCCGTTAAAAAGGAAAATGGAAAAGCCGTTCACGAAAAGTGGAAGCTGGTCAAGTAACAAAGAAAATAAAAAGCTGTACAAGAAAGATTGAAGCAGGTCAAGACGAAATGAAAAGGAAATAACCTGCGTAATAGAAAGTAAATTTGAGGCTATGGAAGACAGAATAGAGCTGTCGAAAATAAAGTTGGGCAAATTGAAGAAAGGTTTCTTCTGTCAAAGATGAAATAGAAGATAGAGTGTCGGCTGTGGAGCAACGAGTCGAAGGAAGAGTTTCGGCCTTCCAACAACAATTTGAAGAAGAGTTGTTTCTGCCGTCGAACAACAAATTGATGATAGGGTTTTGCTGCCGTCGCCAAAGAAGTTGGACAGCCTAAAGAAGTGCGTAGCGACGGTAGGAAACAATTCTGAAGGTTTTAAATTTTTATTCGATGCCTGCTCGTTCCGTTCTGAAACTATCCACATATGATGGGAAGACCTCCTGGCAGGTGTATAGGACACAATTTTCTATCGTTGCGGATGCGAATGGATGGGATTCCCAAGCTAAGGCCTGTCATCTCGCCGCTTCTCTGAGAGCAGACGCAGCGGATATCCTGCAGACGCTTCCCGAAAATCAAAGGCTAGATTTCGAAGCTCTATCCGGCGCTTTGGAGCTGCGCTTCGGCGGAGAAATGTTTTTAAAAGACTACAGCAGGCTCCAATTAAAATCTCGTCAACAGAAGCTCACCGAAACGCTTCAGGAGCTCGCCACGGATGTTGAAAGGCTGTCACATCACGCCTTTTCGGAGTGCCCGACAGAAACAAGGGAAATCCTGTCCCTGCAATATTTCATCGATGGCATCCGGGACCCTGAAATACAGAAAGCACTGCGAATGGCGGATGTTAAAGATCTGAAAAAGCGCTCTAGTGTATGCCATGAAATTTGAGGCAGCCCAGCAAGCACCCGTCGAGACCGCCATCCCAGTCAGAGCTGCTCAAGTCCAGGAGCCAGGGGATCAAGTCATGCTCGTCTAGACGATTTAACTAGACAACTGAACGCCTTGAGACAGAATATTGGTGACAAGAAACCGCCGTAAGCTGGAATTGCAGTGTTGAAGGCCACCTACGAAGGAACTGCAGAACTCCCCAGAGCACGGAAAATAAGGCATACGATTTTTTAAACAGACATTAAATGCTACGGGAAGGAAAAGGACTGACAAGAACCAAAGTGCTGGAACTGTGGAGTGAAGGCCACGTACGAAAGAATTGCAGAACAGAACCCCAGGGTACGAAAATTGAGACATTTGAAGCACGACGCAGAACGCAGTGAACAATTAATGACCATATCAAGGAACGGAGGTTCCAGATAATGAAAAACCCTGTTTTAAAGCGCTTAAGATCTCTATGGTGAGTGGCAACAATAACGGACTGTCCATCAATGGGAATATCGATGGAGTTCCTTGCAATGATCATTGACACAGGAGCTAATGTTACCATCATTAGGAAAGATTTAGCTGAACAGTTTAAAGATAAACTTATTTGGACGCCATCCTGTGTTACCCTTCAGACTGCGTCTGGTGACAAGATCGACATAACTGGGAAGTTAAACGTAAACATCACGTTTGGAAGTGCCGCCTACCATCACACGGCATATGTGGCGGATATTACAGATCCATGCATACTCGGATTGGACTTTTTAAGGAAATACAATTTTTCCTTAGACTTTCAAAAACAACAAACTGCTTTCAGCATCTGATGGCATCATGACTATCCATCCTCAAAAGGGATCCTCACCCTGGAAATGCCGACGCCTTGTCCGAAAGATCCAGCTCGGGAAGCCGCCGAAATCATGCTAGGGTCGAAAAGAAACGCAAGACTACCAGCTATTCTCCATCTCAGAAGCTCTTCGGTCGAGACCTTCGTCTGCCTTGTGACCGCCTGTTTGGCCGCCCTACGGATGCGCCTTCATCGCCTGAGGAACATTCCAAGATGCTCCAGGCCCGGTTTGAAGTGATGCACAACGTTTTCCACGAAAGCGAGTCAACTTGGCGACGGAGAAAATGACCCAGATACGACACAAGAGCTACTGAACATCAGATCCAACAAAGGAGACAAGGTGTGGTTGTGGAACCCGATTCACGGAAAAGGACTGAGTCCGAAATTACAGTCACCTTGGGATGGCCCATATACAGTCCTAAAAGGCTGAATGACGTCGTGGTTCGGATCGTAAGTCTTCGAACTCTAAACGAAAGTCGTTCATTACGACAGGTTAGCTCATTACTATGGCCATAGTACGTAATGTAAATAATTGTAAATAGTATCAGACCATGGTCCTTTTTGTTTATAAATGTGTATTTGATTTTATTTGTATTTAGTATTTGATTTGCATTTAGTTTTTGATTGATTTGTATTTGATTTGTATTTGTTTATTGTATTTGTATTTAGTATTTGATAGCATTTTTTGTTAAGTTAGTTATTGCATTTATTGTTTATATTGTTTGATATGTAATGTAATGTTTATGCCTCAGTTTGCATTTATGCCACAGTTGTAAGTTTAGCTTCCTGTCCAGGGATTGTACTGCCCGGGACGTGCAGTCCTTGGGAAGGGGGCAGTGTTACGAATTTGGTATTTAAAAAGCTAATGTTAGTTCAATTATAAATTAAAATGGTTTTATTTCTCGCGCAGTGCAGCGCGTGACGAATATTAAAAGAAAGCTAAGCCGGAAAATTGAAAAAAATAAAAATACAAGAGCGTGCGTGCATTAAATAAATAAATATCTCTTTTTGATTTCGAGAAAGTACTGGAAAATTCTAGCGCGTGATTTTAAATCTTATAAAAGGAGGAAAACATCTCAGTTTGGAGTAGTTGCTTAGTTTGTTGTTGTTTAGAAAACTAATGTTGTTGATTGTAGCGAATTCGCGGATTAGCGTTCCTTAGCTGTTTTGAATTACGTTCTATTGGACATTTGAGTAGTTAAAAGATAACTACTGTGAGATATTGTAATACTGCATGATAATTTGAGAAGATTTAAGCATTTTTGTTGTGATAATAATAAATTTTTGTTCATTTTTCATTGGACTTGTGCATTCATTTCATAACGAACCCGTACGCACGCAACAATATTTTAGAAAAATTATCGAAGATCAGATGTAGGT